GTAAGACCTGTGTGTCTTAATAAAGGTGTGTGTGTAACCTCCTTGTGGATATCATCTTTCTCCGTTTTTACCCCTTTGTATATTTACCACTTTCATAGGTTTCTCCGTCTTGTAACCCCAAGGAGAATCCTCTGTAAGACCTGTGTGTCTTAATAAAGGTGTGTGTGTGTGTAACCTCCTTGTACTGTGGACCAACTGACCAGAGAAACCAGAAGAGGTCTTACCACCAAACTATGGATTGATTATAATCAAAAAGATAATTATCTTGGCGTAGGTTAATTAAGAAAGCACCACACTAATTGACTGATTAATCTGAAATAGAAAAACCTTCTTCTATTTATTTGTTAACTTTTTCAAATTTCCCATTTCTTCTTTACATATTTGTTCGGTATTACACACACACATATGGTAACCTCTCTTGACAAAGTTGGGGAGGGCGAGTTGTGGTTCTTTCATTCAATTATCTTTGTTTTGCGAGCGTTCTGCGAAGATATACATAACTTTTAATGCATTTATTCAAAAAAAGAGGTGTCTAGCATAGACACAAGATATAGAACGCTGGGTCTTGGCCAAAACAGAACTTATAAACGGAATAAGTATATTCATATCAATCTTAAATGAAATGTATATATACATCCCTAGAGTACACACGTTTGTTCGGCGGTACAACTACTACAATAGGAACGATACAGAGAAGATTAGCATGGCCCCTGTGATACCAGTTCGGCGGTACAACTACTACAATAGGAAGGATACAGAGAAGATCTGCATGGCCCCTGTGATACCAGTTCGGCGGTACAACTACTACAATAGGAAGGATACAGAGAATATTAGCATGGCCCCTGTGATACCAGTTCGGCGGTACAACTACTACAATAGGAAGGATACAGAGAAGATCTGCATGGCCCCTGTGATACCAGTTCGGCGGTACAACTACTACAATAGGAAGGATACAGAGAATATTAGCATGGCCCCTGTGATACCAGTTCGGCGGTACAACTACTACAATAGGAAGGATACAGAGAAGATTAGCATGGCCCCTGTGATACCAGTTCGGCGGTACAACTACTACAATAGGAAGGATACAGAGAAGATTAGCATGGCCCCTGTAATACCAGTTCCGCGGTACAACTACTACAATATGAACGATAGAGAGAAGATTAGCATGGCCCCTGTGATACCAGTTCGGCGGTACAACTACTACAATAGGAAGGATACAGAGAAGATTAGCATGGCCCCTGTGATACCAGTTCGGCGGTACAACTACTACAATAGGAAGGATACAGAGAAGATTAGCATGGCCCCTGTGATACCAGTTCGGCGGTACAACTACTACAATAGGAAGGATACAGAGAAGATTAGCATGGCCCCTGTGATACCAGTTCGGCGGTACAACTACTACAATAGGAAGGATACAGAGAAGATTAGCATGGCCCCTGCGATACCAGTTCGGCGGTACAACTACTACAATAGGAAGGATACAGAGAAGATTAGCTTGGCCCCTGTGATACCAGTTCGGCGGTACAACTACTACAATAGGAAGGATACAGAGAAGATTAGCATGGCCCCTGTGATACCAGTTCGGCGGTACAACTACTACAATAGGAAGGATACAGAGAAGATTAGCATGGCCCCTGTGATACCAGTTCGGCGGTACAACTACTACAATAGGAAGGATACAGAGAAGATTAGCATGGCCCCTGTGATACCAGTTCGGCGGTACAACTACTACAATAGGAAGGATACAGAGAAGATTAGCATGGCCCCTGTGATACCAGTTCGGCGGTACAACTACTACAATAGGAAGGATACAGAGAAGATTAGCATGGCCCCTGTGATACCAGTTCGGCGGTACAACTACTACAATAGGAAGGATACAGAGAAGATTAGCATGGCCCCTGTGATACCAGTTCGGCGGTACAACTACTACAATAGGAAGGATACAGAGAAGATTAGCATGGCCCCTGCGATACCAGTTCGGCGGTACAACTACTACAATAGGAAGGATACAGAGAAGATTAGCATGGCCCCTGTAATACCAGTTCCGCGGTACAACTACTACAATAGGAACGATAGAGAGAAGATTAGCATGGCCCCTGTGATACCAGTTCGGCGGTACAACTACTACAATAGGAAGGATACAGAGAAGATTAGCATGGCCCCTGTGATACCAGTTCGGCGGTACAACTACTACAATAGGAAGGATACAGAGAAGATTAGCATGGCCCCTGTGATACCAGTTCGGCGGTACAACTACTACAATAGGAAGGATACAGAGAAGATTAGCATGGCCCCTGCGATACCAGTTCGGCGGTACAACTACTACAATAGGAAGGATACAGAGAAGATTAGCATGGCCCCTGCGATACCAGTTCGGCGGTACAACTACTACAATAGGAAGGATACAGAGAAGATTAGCATGGCCCCTGTGATACCAGTTCGGCGGTACAACTACTACAATAGGAAGAATACAGAGAAGATTAGCATGGCCCCTGTGATACCAGTTCGGCGGTACAACTACTACAATAGGAAGGATACAGAGAAGATTAGCATGGCCCCTGTGATACCAGTTCGGCGGTACAACTACTACAATAGGAAGGATACAGAGAAGATTAGCATGGCCCCTGTGATACCAGTTCGGCGGTACAACTACTACAATAGGAAGGATACAGAGAAGATTAGCATGGCCCCTGTGATACCAGTTCGGCGGTACAACTACTACAATAGGAAGGATACAGAGAAGATTAGCATGGCCCCTGTGATACCAGTTCGGCGGTACAACTACTACAATACGAAGGATACAGAGAAGATTAGCATGGCCCCTGCGATACCAGTTCGGCGGTACAACTACTACAATAGGAAGGATACAGAGAAGATTAGCATGGCCCCTGCGATACCAGTTCGGCGGTACAACTACTACAATAGGAAGGATACAGAGAAGATTAGCATGGCCCCTGTGATACCAGTTCGGCGGTACAACTACTACAATAGGAAGGATACAGAGAAGATTAGCATGGCCCCTGTGATACCAGTTCGGCGGTACAACTACTACAATAGGAAGGATACAGAGAAGATTAGCATGGCCCCTGTGATACCAGTTCGGCGGTACAACTACTACAATAGGAAGGATACAGAGAAGATTAGCATGGCCCCATGCGCAAGGATGACACGCAAAATCGTCAAGCGTTCTATATATCCCTAGAATATATCTCAAATATGCAAAGACAGAACGACTAGGAAGGCTAATATATATATATATACATTTTATAGGTTTCTATTTTTTGACACAAGGTTATTATTATTTTAGAATAAAATGATTAGACGTCCAATTTGGAAGGTAAATGAAATCGGAGCGGAGCAGACTTCCTGCTCCAGTAGCAAGGAAAGGCGGAAGCTACAAGTAATTAGGTGAGATCGGGGTGGGTCGGCCGGCAACTCCCTTTTTTATAAACACCCGAGGGTTCGATTCTGAGTGGGTTACAAACTTTTCCACACCTCTCTCTCGAAGGCAATTCGGAGAGTGTTGTCTCTTTCCTCTTTTCTCATCGCTACTTCTGTCATCACCATCTCATCGCGCAGGTTGTTCCTGTACCTGGAGATGTGAGAGAAAGGGGTTTTCACTGTTTCACTTGTTTCTTGATAAAGCACAATTTGGATTATAGATTATAATAACAAAAGAAAATAAGACCTAATCCAAGTAAATTAATGGTGTGTGACGTTACGGTAACGTTATTACCATCATTTTATTCTTTTGTCTGATGATGGTAACAATGCTGTTACCGAAACATCACACACTAATAAATTATTTGGATTAGGTCTTTTTTTCACTTGTTTCTTGTGTTTGCTGTGTGTATGGAGTAGGATTTTTCATCATTGTTGTCAGTGTCCCATCAAGTCCTGTTCAAATAGGTGACTCTATGGACAAATATTCTCTTCCAATATTACTGACCATCACTGGCAATTCATCTAGGAACCTTCCGGTAGCATCCTTCTACTCAGCTCAATGGAGTTCATCCTTACTTTCTTCAATATTCCACAACATCAACATTTACAAAAATGTATAAGAGGCCGCGATTATTTTTATTAATTGTATAAAGTAGCTTTCGGGACAAGCTCTTCTTCAGTAAACTAAAAACATTTCTTCTAATCCATTTGTTCTCATTACCTATCCAAAGTCGTTCTGTCTTTGTTTGCATATTTGAGATATATTCTAGGGATATATAGAACGCTTGACGATTTTGCGTGTCATCCTTGCATAGGGGCCATGCTAATCTTCTCTGTATCATTCCTATTTTAGTAGTTGTACCACCGAACTGGTATCACAGGGGCCATGCTAATCTTCTCTGTATCCTTCCTATTGTAGTAGTTGTACCGCCGAACTGGTATCACAGGGGCCATGCTAATCTTCTCTGTATCCCTCCAATTGTAGTAGTTGTACCGCCGAACAAGCGTGTACTCTAGGGATATCTATATATGGATACATTTCATTTAAGATTGAAATATTTGTCCTTATATCTCTCTGTCCACATGGCAACACTCTGAGTAACTTTCTACGTGTCAACATTTCAAAACTTTCTCTTTTTTTTTTTTTTTTCAAACAAATTTTTTCTTGAGAAAAAAAAAGTGCCCATTTCGGGATTCGATGCCGGGTCGTGGCAATCGAAAAGCAACGGTCACCAACCCAATGTACCTGAAGGACCCAGAATAACCGGCAGTGAAGCTGGTCATAAGTAATTGCAGGACAGTGATGGCCTTGTGACTTATGGACCAGATGACCCTGCTAACTTCACCTGCTGCCAACCTCTCTCTCCAAGATTTTTTTTTAAATCCCTAGTGAACGTGGTACAGGCCATGATAATCATGGTGGGTAGAAAGAAGTTGACGACTGTTTTTACTGTAAATGCACCATATGTCTACACATGTGAAAAGCGCAGTACGATTTTTGCATTTACAAATATGCCAAAGCCCCGTTTGGTAATTTATACTCGCTGGTGGGTCTCTCCAAGATGAAACTTCGGAGGTCCAGGGGTGCAGGGGCTTCAAATCTGTAACCGACGTTTAAAAGCGGAGTGGTTCAATTCCACCTTCTGGGCGACTTATCTTGTCAGGCTCGAAAAATCTCATACACTTTGGTTAGTATCCTGTCAAACCATATTATCTCTCCAACTTTGGTCGTTCAGTCAACACTTGAAAGTGAGAGGTCCCGATTTGTCCCCACACTGAAAAAAGGTCAGGTGTTGATATTAAAAACAAATTGACATTTCCTGACCGTTCACATGAGCGGTCGAGCGCCAGAGCGCAGAGCGGCAGAGCGCCAACTAGTGGGGGAAAAATCAAGTAATCTTTGGAACAAGCTAAATCAACGTTTAGTTTATTTTTGTTCCACTAGATGGCGCTCTATCATCTAAAATTCTCATGTGAGCGGTCAGGAAATGTCAATTTTGTTTGACTGCTTTGATTTTGTTTGGTCGCTATTTTTTGACACAAGGTTAGAGGCATCCTAACAAAACGTGAATGCAATATACCTAGATACTAGCTAGAGAGACGAGGCTGTGTCCATTCGGCTAGTAATGGGAATAAAATAAATACTATTTCTACAGACCTTATACTGCAATGGATCATAATTGAAAAAAAAAAAGGGGGGGGGAGATGTTTTTATAGTGGTGAACTGCGGTTTCACCAGTTTAATCTGGGAGATTTCACCACCGATGAGCCATACCCTTCCTTTTTTCTATTTTTATTCATTGCCGTATAAGACCTGTAGAAATACAGTAGAACCTCTATGAGAGGATACCCGCGCTAAAGGACGCCTCTCTACAAATGATTGTTTTCATTTTCAAAATGGTCATTTTTACTATTTAATAACTTTCCGAGAGGAGGACACTTTGGCTCTGCAATTAGGTGTTCTTTACGGGGAGTTTCTAAAGTATATGTCATAATTTGTATAGCTAATGCCAAAAGAGATAATTTATTTCCGTCAAACTAAGTATGTAAAAATGTTACCATTGTGTTAAAATGTAAATATGTAAATTCATCCATGTATAAAAGCGGTACAAAAATTAAAGGTGGCAGACATCGCGGGTGCGCTGTTCCCTAGGCATAACGGCTGCGCCTCTTCATTTAGCTACGACATATATATATATATTTTTATTATACGTTTTTTCTCCCAAAGAGTGTGTGTATATAGAGTTATAAATTAGTACAAAGGTTTACCGATAGATGGCGCTAAATTTTGATTGTGTGGTGTTTTACCTCGAGGTGAGATAAGAAGAAATCCTTGCGGCTTAAGAGAACCTCGGGATAAGAGATTGAGTTACGTTAAGTACGATACGGGGTGATAAGATAATCGATTTTTCACCTCCCAGAAATCTATCTTTGGCAACTTTCCCGAGATTTATTTCGGCACAATTCTTCCTATTTGATAACGATGCTCCTGTTACCCAGGCATGTTTCCCCCGGGGGGTAGTTTGACGTGGAGAAAGACCTGCAGAAACTGGTCGAGAGACCTATGCAAATCTGAACTTTAGTAGATGTGGCCGTAGACTAACCAACAAGACATCGGTAGGGTGAGTGGATGGGTGGAAAAATCTACATGTTTGGGAGAATGGCTTGAGACAAAGATCAGGAAGCTCGAGAATGGAATAAATGGACAATGTCGGGAGAAGCCCCCTACGATCTCATCAAAAGATTAGCCATAGAAAGGAAGCTCTGAGAGAACAGGAATACTGCCAGCCACCAACCTATGGATGGTTGAGGTGCAATAGATATGGACTGAGAGAAAAGGAAGCTCTGAGAGGACAGGAATACTTCCAGCCACCAACCTATGGATGGTTGAGGTGCAATAGATATGAACCGAGAGAAAAGGAAGCTCTAAGAGGACAGGAATACTGCCAGCCACCAACCTATGGATGGTTGAGGTGCAATAGATATGGACTGAGAGAAAAGGAAGCTCTGAGATAACAGGAATACTGCCAGCCACCAACCTATGGATGGTTGAGGTGCAATAGATATGGACTGAGAGAAAAGGAAGCTCTGAGAGGACAGGAATACTGCCAGCCACTAACCTATGGATGGTTGAGGTGCAATAGATATGAACTGAGAGAAAAGGAAGCTCTGAGAGGACAGGAATACTGCCAGCCACCAACCTATGGATGGTTGAGGTGCAATAGATATGGACTGAGAGAAAAGGAAGCTCTGAGAGGACAGGAATACTGCCAGCCACCAACCTATGGATGGTTGAGGTGCAATAGATATGAACTGAGAGAAAAGGAAGCTCTAAGAGGACAGGAATACTGCCAGCCACCAACCTATGGATGGTTGAGGTGCAATAGATATGGACTGAGAGAAAAGGAAGCTCTAAGAAGACAGGAATACTACCAGCCACCAAACTTGAGGTGAAATAGATGGGTGGGACGAAGAGTAACACCATTGTGACACTCTCACGTAAAGACAAAGACGACGATACTATGACAAGAAGGGGTGGATTTTGGAAGTTGGAAAAAAAAGTACCAATATAGGTAATCTCACAACCTCTACCCACTAATAGATATTATCACGTTCTGTACTATGTATAATTGGGATTAGCTTTAGGTTAGGAAAAAGTGAGGTTCAAACCTCAAACAACGACAGCAATAACCAACAAAAGATCTAAAATAAATATTTTAGATTGTAGATATATGGTATACCGATGACCTGCATACCACATATGTACTCAATTTTTTCTTTTAATTATTAGAGTGGTAAAAATATATAGCGATATATTCACATTGCGTTCAAACCATCAAATCTTGGAATGAGGGAGGATTAAGCCTGGGAAATAAAACTTCCGTCAGTATACAAAAGGATGAAGAGATCCTCAGAAAAGGTGATGTCAGAAGAACACGGGAAGGGCTTAAAAGACAACGTTGAGGAATCAGGAACACGCGTTCCGCTTTCTGAACCAAGGAAGAAAATAGTTCGCTGATGATAAGACAGGGCCACGTGGGGTTTTCATGTTGTTAGTGTGCTTCAAGTCAACTTTTGGTGACACTATATGGTGACAAATATTCTCCAATTTGATCAATTAGTGTGACTGTCACTCATCTTGTGACCTTCCGGTAGTTTTCATGACCTCTTCTAGTCAGCTCATTGTAGGTCTTCCTCTCTTCCTTCAATTTCTCCGAACATCCTTTCCAAACCATTTGCCCCCATTAGATGTCCGAAGTAGGTTAGTCTTTGTTAACAAATTTGGGATGCTAGGGGGGATCTAATAGGTTTAATGTAAGATTGGAACATTTGTCCTTTTATATATCTGTTCATGGCAACTTTGAGTAGCTTTCTCATTGTCCACAAATCTTTCAAAAGCTTTAATACACTCATGGACAAAACTTGAGGAAGTTGTACCTTTTAGCATGTATATCGGGATTCAGACAATAACTCTGAAAGATACACTCATGAACAAAACTTGAGGAAGTTGTATCTTTTAGCATATATATCGGGATTCAGACAATAACTCTGAAAGATATTACAGTGACCTTTATTGTAGACACACGAGATAACTAAGTGTGAACGAAATTGCTTCTGTCTTCTTCTTAAAAAAAAAGACGACTGGCGAAATCAAAGACTTTCCACTTCCTTTAGGTTTTGTCTATGAATGTATACTTAAGTTAAAAAAAAACTTAACAATATCAGTAGTGTCTCACAACCTCTACCCACCAAGGGATGTCCTGTACTATGTATAATTGGGATTAGCTTTTTTAAAAGTGAAGTTGACACAAATCCCAAACAACAACAGCAACAAAAGTCCTGAAATATATCCTATAATCCATCGCGATTATACTTCCTCAAATAATACAATACGGCTTATGATTATAGAACGAATTCCCATCCTTGGATACTTTATTTTTCCGTTTATCATTACTCTTTGTACTTCATCCTTAAGGTTAGAAATAACCGTTATTTCTCCTTTAAATAAATTTCGATTTTTTGTTCAAAAGAAACATTTGCGGTATAGTTGTTACAAATTTCGTTATACTTTATTAAATAAATAGACGTTTAAGTTTACCGAAAGAGACAAAGGAAGCCATGACTTGATAAAGAGCGTCGCACAAAACTTTTTAAAAAAAATTAATAAACAAACAAAAAAATACGTTTGTTACGTATTGTTTACTAAACCGTGTCTTCCGTTATACTTGACACTTTATCGATTTTTTATAAAACGTTTTGAAGATCGCGTGAGACACGTAGATTAACGGACGTCATTAACAACCTGAAAGAAAAAAGAACAAATTTCTAAACGCCAAGTCTTATAGATACCTACAGCGCTGTCCTAACTTGTCAACCTGTCTAAAATTAACAGCTGGTGGTGACAATTGACAATTAAAAAACAGTTTATTGATATCTAGTCAACAGTAGGGAGGAGAGGTTACAGGTTAAAAATAGGGAGAAAGGATTCCATAACTCGCAACGGCCTGTCCGAACTCAAGGCGGCTTTGAGTTGCTGATGAAATTCAGACGTCCTTTTGGAGGACAATACAAACTTATAGAATGAATTCCCCATCCCTGGACACTTGTCATGGCTTGCTGTGTGTTCTCTCTCGGTAAACTTAAACGTCTATATTTATTTAAGGAAGTATAACCAAGTTTGTAACAACTATATCGCAAATGTTTCTTTTGAACTAGAAATCGAAATTTATTTTAAGGAGAAATAACGATTATTTCTAACCTTAAGAATGAAGTATGAAAGGATGAATTATGAAGAGTAATGATAAACGGAAAAATAAAGTGTCCAGGGATGGGGAATTCATCCTATAATTCAACAGACGGAGCCCTCTCAGAAGGGACGTCTGAATTTCATCAGGAACTCAAAGCCACCTTGAGTTCGGACAGGCCGTTGTGAGTTATGGAATCCTTGTCCCGAGCAGGCTTTGGTGACTTTACATATGGGACGACAATCTGTCGAGGAAAATGACACAAGTTGCTGCTGTCCAAGAGAACAGCAAATACCTCTTCCATTGAAATTACACACAGACTATATATACAGTAGAACAACCTCCATGAGAGGACACTCACGTTAGAGGACACCTCTCTATAAAGGACCGTTTCCATTAACAAAA